AGTGACGTTCTCTTTAGTCGTTTTAATGAAAAGGTCGATCGTGACAAAGTCGTTGGATTGATACCAGTCGTACTGATGCTCATTGTTCTTTTTTAGTTGTTTTTGTATTTGGATTTTTTTAATTATTTCGTACAATAACGAAAAAAAGTGAATGACGTATTTGATCTCAAAAATCACCGGAAAAAGAAATTTTTTAATATCAGAGCTTAATAAAAACAATTTAATATTATTTAATTTGAATATAAAATCTCGCTCTTATATAAATCACTTGTTAATGACTAGTTTTAATGTTTATTATAATTTTTTATTATTATATAGTTTTAAAATTGACTTGAAAATATTAAAACCTCAAATAGAAAGATATATAAAATAACTCATTTGTTATAATTATTATTATTGTCTGTATACTAATATTTTTAATAAACAAATTTATTCAAAATTTATTATTTAAACATATTTTTATCAATGAATTAAATTTAACAATTATAAATTGTAATATTTGTTGACTCTTAAATACAATACAGTCAAAGGCGTCTATTTGTAGTAATAATAATTTCGAACTTGCTTAATTGTCGCACAACTGGCCAATCATTTTGGTCTACGACAATTAAATATTTTGTTCTCGAATCTGTAACTTTTGTTGAATTAAAAATAAAATTTTTTATAAAAAATAAATGTTAATATTAATAGAAATCTACAAAATTCACTCATTTACGACAAATAGATATTTTTTTCTGCTGGATTTACGACAAATAGACGCCTTTGACTGTAAATTTTTAAAATAAATTATATGTTTTATAATTAATGGTATAACAAAAATTGTTGTCAATTAAATTTATACTGAAATACTAATACATTAATTATATAATTTTGTATTAATTTTTACTAATTATCACTAGTCTCGAAATATAAGTAACCATTCTGTAAGTTCATACTTTTATATATATCATATTACTTATGCAACTGCAATATTTTATAATAAATGAAATATCAATAGTTTCATTAATATATTTAAATGCTTAAAATAATAATTCTATCATAATTAAAGAAAATGGTAAACAATTTAATTAACATAACAAACAGAAATTCAATAACAAACCAAAATCATGTTTTTCATAATAATTTATATATTAATTAAATATAATAAAAAAACCATACTCAACTGTAACAATAATTATAATAAATCTTTACTTTTAATTATAATTAACAATAATTAAATAGATTTTTAAATTCCACTATTAAAAAACATTTAAATTAATCGAATGGATTTTCAAGGAATGGCGATCATCGACGACAATGAAGTGGACAATTTTGGCAATATCCCAGAAGTCCACGGGCCGGACATAGACATTACTCTTAACGACAACCTTTCCAGATCTTCAAATAACCTTTGTTTGACCTTTTTGCAAAACATTTTAATAACATTCAAATTTATGTGGAAATTCTGTTGTGACGGTTTGTGTGATTCAATATACCGCTGTACGTGCATTTGCGATTTCTTTTCGTGTTTTTGGTGTGATGTGACTTGTTGTCATTGTTTTCTTAATTGCAATTGCTGCAATTGTGATTATTACGACGACACCTGTGAATGTCCATTTTACAGCAAATACTGCTGTGTTCCTTTTCGCCTTATTTTTTGTTGTAATTGCAAACACACGTGTTGTGAGAATTGTTCGCAAGAGCACTTTACATATGATAATGTGTGGGATTATGTTTTCTTCTTTTTTGACATCTTATGCGAGTGTTTTGTGGAGTCTTGTGTGTGTTTATTAAAACCGTTTGTTGCTGTTATTGTGTTCTTCTTCAATTTGATATGTTGCACTTATTGTACATATGGAGAGTGCAACCAAAAGTGTGCAGAGGGTGTTGGGTGTGTGACATGTGGGTGTTGTGGAAATCGAAATAGATATAGCGATGTATACCACTATGTCTGGGACTGCGGTTGTTGTAAAGAGAAGTGGTGTTTTCTGTGCAATTGCTTGTTGGGTGATGGAATGTGTGTATGCACCCCTTTGTATATCTTCTGTTGTCAATGGATGAACTTCGATTGTCACACATGTTCAGACGAAAACGTTGAGTGTTGTGGGGAAGACTCAAAGGAACAATGCGAGTATGCCTGTAAATGTGACTTGTCAAGAAAATGCTGCGACTATAACTTGAGACTTTTGGATTAATTTTTATGTCCCAATTATTCAAATATTGTTGCTTAACACTTAAAATAACACACTTATTTTTGTTTTGGCCTGTTTTTACTGGGATATTATTCCAATTTTTGATGATTATCCTTTTTTGGCTTGTGTATTGTTTATGCAAAAAGTATAAACTCTAAAAAACGGAAATTTATTTAATAAACTCAAGATTTCCCGATTTTTAGACCTTTTGAATTTTGTTCAATGTTATTTAAAGTGTTAAAATCATAACCTTTGTGATCTACAATGATATTTTTTGAAACAAAAAATAACATATTACAAATACTACAAATTTAATAATGTAACCACGCTATCTCGAAATGTTTATTATAATCAATATACAAAAACAAAAAATTATTAAAATACAAAATCATTCTTTGTGATCTTTAAAAATTGAACTTTACTAATATCAAGTTGAATATAATTTATACATTAATAAAACAACAATTACGTTATATTTTCAAGACAAAAAATACTTTAAATGATTTATTTTTAACGAATCAAATTAATTTTTTTTGAAATTTCTTTGTTTTCGAATGATTTAAATCGAAATATTAATTAAATACAACATGTCCAATTTAAAACAACTTGATCAATACAAAAATGAAATTTCAACATTCTTGGAGAAATTTGATGATATCAATGTTTTTATTCAAAACGCCACAAAACCATTTGACGAAAAATCTCCTCTTTTTGACTGTGTATTTGATGACAATGACACGGACAAGATGACAATTGAAGAAATATCACAAAGAAATTTGAAATATGATGAAACTATAAACAATAAAATAATATCTTTAGAAAGTTATTTTGACAAAGTTCAAGAAGCAATTGTAAAGAGAAAATATGTTTTTTCTTTTATTGAAGAGCAAACAACACGTTTAAATGAAGTTCTTTTAAAATTTCAAGAAACGTCAAAAAGTGTGGAAAAAGATTTTCAAATGTTGTCTGAAGAGAACGACACTGCAATTTACGAAATCGTGAAAGCAAAAAAGAAAAGCAAAGAACTCAAAATTCAACTTTTGGAACTGCAAAAAGCAAAACACGAAGAAGAATTTAAAGCATTTGCAAACAGTTGGGAAGAAAAATTAGAGAACAATGCTGTTGTGCAAAATGAGAAGATGATCAAGAACAAAAAGGAAGATGAAACAAACAACAGAATAACTGCTTATAGTAATGGTGTAAATTTAAACAAAAAAGTCGAACTATTTAAAGAAATAGAAAAACATTCAAAGACAACTTTTAATCGTGTTTTTAATTTGTATAATACTTATAATGGAAATTGCACAATAATTAACAACAAAAATGGTTTAAAGCCATCTCTTTTCTTGTTTTCAAACGCAAATAATCAATATTTCGGAGCTTTTGTGACCAATGGTTACAAACAATGTGCAAAATCATTTTTGTTTAAAATTAAAGACGAAAACGTTGTTTTCTATGACATTAAAGATGGATTAGAGGAGTTTGAATATGGAATAAATAATAATACCCTTTCTTTTGGGTGTAAATTGGAAGTGCCAGACTTACAAATAATTTTTAATCAATTTAATAATGGATATGGTCAAGTTTATTATCCATCATATACGTCAAAATCAGTGCAAAACGTTTTCAAATACAAAGGAGAAAAGAACGCTTTATATGGGAGTGATAGTTGCAATGGAACATATTCGTTTTTGATTTATTAAATTGATTTACAATTTATGTTAAAATAGTTAGAGTCGATCGAATAACATTGTTCAGTCCCCAAACGTTGTTCACCTCAGAATCTTCTAAATAACGGCTAATCTTCTACAAAATATTTAAATCTTAAAATAGAACACCAATTAACACACCAATAACATTTTCTTTTTCATATTATGTTTTTCTTTTTCCAAATCAAAACGAACATAAAACCAACAAAATCGTTTAATTTCAAGATCTTCACGTTTTTTGTCGTAATCAACAAACACCCCGGAAACCATGCCAAAATGACGATCTCAAGTTGAGACCGTTCAATCGGCGAGAGTTGGCTGGTTTCCACTTGCTGTGGTGGAAATGTAGAAGGCGCTCCGTCGTATTGTTGCGGCACGGAGCCGCCTCTAGTTTGTTAATATATATTTCCAATTCAATTCAATTCAATTCAATTTAATTTAATACAAAGAACAAACATCTTATTTTTTAGTTCAAAGATAACGTTTAAGTTTTCTAAAATCAAGGTAAAACTTTAAGTGTTATGTTGGCTCTGTTATTCACTCTTTTTTCCTATTGATAAGTCTGTATTATTTCAAGGGTTTTTATAGTATTATTTATAGTTTTGTATAGAATGTTATAATATTTTTATTTACAATTAAAGTGATACACAAAGTATTTTATCGGAACCAAATTCAACTCCAATACATTTTACTGCAAGTTTTATACATTTTTTATCTTATTTATTTCCGTTATATTTTTAATAATAAACAGTTAAAAAACAAAAATCTATTAGAAACTATATTTTAACAATAAAAATACTTATAAATAAAACTATAAGTTGTTGAATTTAAAAGCTCTGATTCTTTTTGTTTTGTAATAGACCAAGTAAAAAATTCAAAAAGTTTTAAACATGATGAGCTTTATAAAAAAGCTCATAAATGCGTTTTGGCAACATTATTTGAATATAGAATTACAAGAGCCGAGTGCTCTAAAAACACGTGGCTTTAGTAATCACAATAAAGGCTGAACACTTGAATTATAATTTAGTTTGAATTAACGTGTTTATGTTATTTTTTGTTACTATATTTTAGAAAAAAAGTAATTGTTTTATCGTTTGTTTAATGCTTACAATAAGACGAAGCATTGTTAATGCAAGCCTCTTTAGACTATTTTTTTTACAAAAAGCTTTAAATTAATTAATTTTTTCTTTGAGTTGGAAAGATAAAATTAAAGCATACCAGAGTCTCTGATATGTTCAAACATATAATTGTGTTAATTTGATGCCATATTTTCATTTTCTTGTTGTTCAAAAAGCTTGTAAATTATTCAGAATAAAAATTGTGTTTTGCTTGTGTTGAAAAGTGTTATTTTTAATTATATTTACTCATCCATTTTTTTTTGTTTTTTATCTTTTCTGAACATATTTTTTTGTTTTTGTAAATAAAAGGAAGATAAATAATAGAGTTAAATTATAACCAAAATGTGGGATTATTAAGTTTGACGTTTTTTGTTTTAAAGTTACTTTAATTAAATTATTTCTTTTTTTAACTCTTTTAATTTGTTTTAAAGCGGGAATTGCTAAAAAATTGAGTTTAACATGGTAAATATTATTGTTATTTGCTGATTGTTTCGTTTATTGTGGGAACTTTCTATTGTTCTAATAATATAACACTAAAAAAACAACGTTAACTGACTGACTCTATATATTTATTTTCTATATAAATTGTTAATAAATAAAATAATAAAGTATATTTTCTATTAAATGATATTCAAAAAAAATGTAACAAAGAAAGGTACTATACCTATAATATTAAACTATAATTTACTATACTCAATATCGTTAACTCGCCGACGTACCTAATCCCCAACAAACCAATACTGTTAAAAAGAACAGTGTTTTTGTTTTTTTGAAAAAAATATATTATACAGTGTAGTTCAATTATAGTAAAATGAAAATGGAATAACGAGTTCAAATCGTGAACTAAAAAACAAATAAAATGTGAAAAAAATGAAAAAAAAATATAAAATTTCATGACAAAAACGTAAAAAATGGCAAAATAAGAATACTGGTAAAATGTAAAACATTTATTTCAAAACATATAAAAATGTTTTTTATACATTAAACAATAAAAACAATTGGTTTTGAGTTGAAATGAAATACAAATTGCAAAAGTAACATCAACACATCAGCGATAATTAAAAAACAGACAAAATTTATGTACACATAATAGTCTTTATAAAAAATATAAACTTTTCAAAAAACCCATTTTATTAACTGTGTATTTTTTCAAACAGTACGATGTAGCAAGATTTTTGACTGTTTTTTCTGTTTATAATATATTTTTTTATTTTTTGGTATTTACAATAAAGTGACTAATCTCTTGAAGAGTGTTTATCAAAAGAAATTAAAATATAACAAGCAATCATTAAAACAGTTTTTAGTGTTAAATATATATTGTTTTTATAACAATTACCCTTCATTACATATAATCCACATATTTTTAATATTGTTGTCTGACTTTTTGTCTAATACATGGACTGTTTAACCAATTGTTTGTTAATGACTTTTGACAAGTTGATGTATATAATTACATATTTTAATAATCTATTGAAAAGAGTGTTTAAAATGAATAATATAGTTATAGTAAACCATAACTATATTTTTAATTTTTCAAACAACAAAAATCAAATTTCTTTGTTTATCAATGCTATTTTATTAATTTATTTGGTGTATATTTTTAATTTTTGTTGTGTTTTACATTATGAGTAATTTATCTTTTTATTGTCAATTAAAATTTTTAAATTGTTATTATTATTATTATTTATATTTATATTAATATTTGGGTTGCTTGATAATCAATTGCAGAAACATCACTGTCTGTAAAAGCGATGTATAATGGATTCGTTTTATTATTATTATTATATTTACAACTATTTCGACTCATCATTTTTACTATAACACAAAAGCATGTTACTTGTTGTTAATATCAACTACTGTTATCAATTTGCGTCATTCAGTGAACATAATTAATTATGTTTTTTCTTGTTACCACTATTATTATTTGTTTGTTTTATCAAACACAAAATAGCAATTATCACGTTGACGTGTGTGCTTTTTATCATCATTTTAGATTTTATGAATAATTTTCTTGGAGTTGGCAAAAAAGTCTGTCTAGATAAGATTAACTATATTTTATTATGAACAACCATTTTTAATAATTATTATTTGTATTTTTATATTATTAAAATTTATATAACTTTCGAGCAGGACACAAATTCAATTTAGATATTGAAACATTTTTTTTGAAATTAAATACAGAAATTGAATATTTAAAAACTATAAGTTATTACCATAATCAATCCCAGTTGATTATGGTAATAATCAACTGAGATTGATTTACACATTGACACTTTCACATAGAGATTGATTCAATTCATGGCTGGATTGAATGAGTGACATTTTTAAATATTCGCTGCGTTTTTGGGATTTCTTTAATATATTTAAAAGTCAAAATTTGTTGTTATAAATTAATTGTTTCAAAATGCTACATTTAAGTTTTTTATTGTTGAATTGTGTTGTATTTATTAAATAATAAATCAAATGATTAATTTGATAACTTTCAAATTTGCTTTCTTTTATATTTGCCAAACATTATTTTCAATTTTAAAAACAAACATCAAGTGGTCGCAATTGACTGTTTATGGGGTAATACAATTACAACAACAAAACTGTGTAACGTATCCGAAACGTCAATTTTATTAACGGGAATATTAAAAAAATTCAACCATTGTTTGGTTTTACAAGTATTTTTAATTATTTTTTTTGTTTTAATTAATGTTTTTAATATATTTAACAATAAATATTATATATTACTATAATTTGCCAAAGCCGACTTTTTCCACCAACTCTATATTATT